ACTCAGCATGATGCTCTCCAGATCCATTAATGTAGCAGCAGATTTCAAGCTTTCGTTTTTTCTTAAAGCTTAGTACTATTTCATTATGTACTGTAGATTCTTTATCCAGCTGTTCTTGAACACTTGGGTTATTTCCAGATTTTGACTATTGTGAATAGTGCTGCAATGAATACAAGAGTGCAAATTCCTTTTCCGAAGAGAGTATTTGGGCTCTTGGGGTAGATGTCTAGGCGTGGAATTGCTGGATCAGATGGAAGCTCAATTACTAGTTTTTTGAGGAGTGTCCATATTGACTTCCAAAATGGACTAGTTGACATTCCCACAAGCAGAGTATGGAGTTTCTCCTTTCCCCACATCCATACAACACTGGTTTTTGTTCTTTGTGATGTGGTACAGTTTCAGTGGTGTGAATTGATATCTCTTTGTTATTTTCACTTGCATATCCCAGACGATAAGTGATGCAGAGCATCTTTTCACATACCTTTTGGCCATCTGGATATCTTGATGCTACTGTTTTCATTCAGAGAGCTTGGTGGGCTTCTATCTGAATTCCCCATTGTGATTGCTATGCTCTGAGGGTTTACCTTTGTAGTTAACACTGCTGGAAGTGTCTGAGGGAATAGGCTGGGTGTTAGTGTTTTCTGTCCTGCTGTCCTCTTCACTCAGTGACAGGAGATAAAAGTTGGAGCAGTGTGAGTGGTGGCATGCACTGCCCAGTGGCGGAGAGTACAGCAGCAGCATTCCAATAACCCCCTGGGGATGTCAGCTGGGCAGGTAACCTCACCTGGGAGTTTGCATGAACATGTAGAGGGTTTGAAATGTGGATGTGGGCCTTCTGAAACCAAGATTATTTTCTTATTGTAGTTTTGAAAGAGAATTCAGTGCTGTCGTGCTACATAAGATGATGATTAGTGTAATCTTGCTGGTGTGGGAACAAACTAAGAAATTGTTATAAAAATGATTATACCGTTTGAGGTGCCAGAGCGATGCTACAGCAGATAGGATGTTTATCTTGCATGTGGTTGACCCAGGTTTGATTCCTGGCACCCAGTATGGTCCTCTCAGTACCGCCAGGAGTGATTTCTGAGTGCAGAGTCAGGAAGTAATCTCTGAGCATCATCAAATGTGGCTCCCCCACTCCCTCCAAAAAAAAAAAAAAGTGATAACTATTTGAATGCATTTCTTGATCTGTGTACATAAGCTTCCTGGCCCACAGCAGGGTCTGAGAATTCACCCAGTCTGATCCTCTGTACCCAGGCATAGCATTAGAGTTTGTGGGTTGCCCATTCTACCCTCCGTTTCAAATGCCAGCCACAAGCCTGTTTGTACTGACAGACTTGCTACAAAAAACAAATAGGTTTCAAAGCCCCTTTTTTTTGACTTTGTAGAAGACGTCCAAATTCAGGCTGTTACTATAAACCAGGTGTTCCCATGACCTCTCCCTTGGGTTCTATTTACTAGAATGCTTTACAAAACCAGGAAATTTATTGCTTTGCCAGTTTAATATAAAATCCAAGAACTGCCAGATGGGAGGATACATGGCTTCCACACCATTTCCAATTACACTATTCTGGACTTGAGAGATTGCTTAAAGAACAGGTTGAGTGCATGCAGAGTGCGCTTTGCAAGAGGGAGGTCCCTGGCTCTCTGGGGTCCCTCCAGCTCTACTGGGAGCAACCCCCAGAACAGAGGTGGGAGATTGACATACCCTGCCACACCTAACAATTAATTAGCAGCACTGGGTGTGGCCCAAAAACCAAAAAGGGGGGAAGATCCCAAAATATTGTGCCATTCTCCCAATACTTCCAGTATTCATTCACAAATTTGGAGACTCTTCACCAACACCACTATCCTGATATTTATTTATTTATTTTTAAGTTGAAATTTTTTAATGGCAGTCTATAATTTGGTATCCTTGTGTTATAAATGCAACAAAATAAAGTTTTAAAAAATAATTTTAAGAGGAAAAATATTAGCAATATGTCTAAGGTAAAAATTTTGGAAGGCTCAACAACTGTTGATCCAACTTTATTTTTTACTTATTTATTTATTTTTAAAACAACGATCCTTTTTTATTTTTTTTTATTTTGCTTTTTGGGGTCACACCTGGCAATGCACAGGGGTTATTCCTGGCTTGTGCACTCAGGAATTACTCCTGGCGGTGCTCGGGGGACCATATGGGATGCTGGGAATTGAACCCGGGTCAGCTGCATGCAAGGCAAACACCCTACCCGCTGTGCTATCACTCCAGCCCCTATTTATTTATTTAAAAATTTTTTTTAGTAGTGAAACACCATGAGGTACACTTGTAGACCTACAAACTTTCCTGCTTGGGTTTCAGTTGTACAATGATCGAGTACCCATCCCTCCACCAGTGCCCATTCTCCACCACCAATGATCCTAGTAGCCCTTCCACCCCCCCCCCCAACCCAATTCACCCCAACCTGCCTCTGTGGCAGGGCATTCCCTTTTGTTCTCTCTTTCCTTTAGGGTTAGTAGTTTGCAATAGAGGTATTAAGTAGCCATTGTGTTGGGTCTATAGTCTACTTTCAGCACGCTTCTCGCATCTCGAGCAGGCCCTCCAAACGTCCTTTACTTGGTGTTCCCTTCTCTATCTGAGCTGCGTTTTCCCCCAGCATGTGCTGCCGGCTTCCAAGCTGTAGAGCAGACCTGGTACTTATCTCAACTATTCTTGGGTGTTTGACTCCCATTCTGTTACTTTATATTCCCCAGATGAATGCAATCTTTCCCTCTCTTTCTGGCTCATTTCACTTAGTGTGGTACTTTCCATGTAGAACCACTTGTATGTAAATTTTATGACTTCATCTTTTCTAACAGCTGCATAGTATTCCATTGTGTAGATGTACCAAAGTTTCTTTAACCAGTCATCTGTTCTCGGACACTCGGGTTTTTTCCAAATTTTGGCTATTATGAGCAGTGCAGCAAAGAATATAGAAGTGCAGATGCCATTTCGACTGTCCTTTTTTGCCTCTCCAGGATATATTCCCAGGAGTGGTATGCTGGGTTAAATGGGAGCTCAGTTACTAATTTTTTGAGAATCGTCCATACTGTTTTCCAGAAGGGCTGAACCAGTTGGCATTCCCACCAGCAGTGAAGGAGAGTCGCTTTCTTCCCACATTCGCACCAACACCGGTTGCTTTTGTTCTTTTGGATGTGGGCCAATTTCTGTGGTGTGAAGTGATATCTCATTGTTATTTTAATCTGCATCTTCCTGATGATTAGTGATGTAGACCATTTTCTCATGTGCCTTTTTGCCATTCGGATTTCTTCTTTGAGAAAGTTTCTGTTCATTTCGTCACCCCATTTTTTGATGGGGTTGGATGTTTTCTTCTTGTGGAGTTCAACCAGTGCTTTGTGATATCAACCCCTTTCAGATGTGTATTGGGCGAATATCTTTTCCCATTCTGTAGACTGTCTTTGTATTTTCGTCACTGTTTCTTTTGAAGTGCAGAAGCTTCTTAGCTTAAGATAGTCCCATATATCTATCTCTGTTTTCACTTGCTTGGACAGGAGCGTATCATCTTTGAAGATACCATTAGCTTCAATGTCATGGAGGGTTTTGCCAATCTTGTCTTCAATGTGCCTTATGGGTTCCGGTCTGATGTTGAGGTCTTTAATCCATTTTGATCTTACTTTTGTACATGGTGTTAGGTAGAGATCTGAGCCCAGTTTTTTGCATGTAGCTGTCCAGTTTTGCCAGTACAAATTGTTAAAGAGGCTTTCCTTGCTCCACTTCACATTTATTGCTCCCTTATCAAAGATTAGATGATCATATATTTAGGGGGAGGTGTCAGTATAGTGGGCTGGAGCGATAGCACAGTGGTAGGGCATTTGCCTTGTGTGCAGCCGGCTGGCCAAGCCGGGTTCGATTCCTCCGCGATTCCTCCACCCCTCTCAGAGAGCCCGGTAAGCTACCGAGAGTATCTCGCCCTTACGGCAAAGCCTGGCAAGCTCCCCGTGAAGTATTCGATATGCCAAACACAGTAACAACGAGTCTCACAATGGAGACGTTACTGGGCCCGCTCGAGCAAATCGATGAACAACGGGAGGACAGTGCTACAATGCTACAGTCAGTATAGCTGATCCAACTTTAACCTTAATGGTCCAGAATCTGAGATGACCAAGTAGTTATGTTTGTTATAGGGAGCTGTTGCCTGATTTAAGGTAAAGTTTCGTCGCTCGAGAGAATAGCTGGGTCTCATTCTGATTTGGAATGAAGTCTTCATTCATTACATAGGCAGGATGAACTCATTGACCATTGCCAACTAAACTCAGTCTCTTGGGAGGTGGGAGCAGGGGGCAATGGGTGGTTGTGGGTGAATTCCAAGTTCCAGCCTTTTAATCACTTACTTGTGTGTCTTGGAAATCTGTGTCCCAGTCCTTTCAGTAGGGTTCAAAATCCTTTTATTAACAAAATGAAAGATTCCTAGATACTCCACAGGAAATTCTAAGGGTTTTGGGATTCTAAGATCAAATATGTTCCAGTGACTAATTATATTTTTCTTATATAATAATAAAAATAACAATATTATATCTGGTTTAGGGCTGGAGCGATAGCAAAGCGGCAGGGCATTTGCCTTGCACACGGCCAACATGGCCGACCCGAGTTCGATTCCTCCGCCCCTCTCGGAGAGCCCGGCAAGCTACCGAGAGTATCTCGCCCGCACGGCAGAGCCTGGCAAGCTCCCCGTGACGTATTCGATATGCCAAACACAGTAACAACAAAATCTCCAATGGAGACGTTACTGGGCCCGCTCGAGCAAATCGACGATCAACGGGAGGGCCTTTACCTTGCCTTTATATCTGGTTTAAATTAAAACGGGAATAATTAGGTAATTTAATATACTGGGTTGACTGATCTCAAGTGTCATTTGGAGTGTTTTGAAATAGAGAAATCTATCATAGCAAATGAAAAGGTCTAACATTTGTGGTAGACCTTTTCCCTTCCTATCTTAAACATTTTTTGCTTTCTTCCTTAGGATATGGTCTACCAGATGATATTGTAATAGAAAAGAGAGGCAAAGGAGACACTTTTGTGGATTGTACAGGTGCAGATATTAAAATCTCAGGCATAAAATTTGTTCAGCATGATGCTGTAGAAGGAATCTTAAGTAAGTGTCTGAATATTTGCTTACTATAGAAATGATCCCTGAAAGTATAGTATTAGCACCTGAATAGTGTATTATCTGTTGCAGGTTTTAAAAGAAATTTAACTTTCCCTGGAAAATCAAGTTTTAATAAAATACCATTCAATCAGTGGGAGACTGATTATTTAGTTTTATGGCATGATTATTCAGGAAACTTGCCCCAAAGTGAAAAATAGTTTAGCCTATTCTTGAAATTTGTGCTCTGTTTTGGTATTTAATTTAACGACATTTAACCATAACCTAAAACTGGCTGTTCACATTGTATTAATAATTGTTTCCTAGAAACTGAATCCCTTTTCTTTATTGAACCTCTTTTTATTCTCCCATTATTCTCAGGAAAGATACTTTCTGATACTTTTTTTTGTTAATGAAAATTAATTTTAATATGATTCTGCATTTCTGAGATTGTCATTGTTATTGTTTTGATGTATTACCAATTTGTAATTCCAGCAACAGTTTAAATGGGAGTTACTATTTGGAAGAATTTAGATTATATCTAATGTCACCTCTAGTTCATATTAATATTAGAACAAGCATTACTTCTTGAAGCAGTTGATTGCATGTTTTCATCATAGTCATTCACCGTGGCAAGACTACATTGGAAAACTGTGTACTACAATGTGAAACTACAGGAGTCACAGTACGAACATCAGCAGAATTTCTAATGAAGAACTCAGATTTATATGGTGCCAAGGTATGGTAACCTTTTCCTTCTGGGAAGTAGTTCAGTCTTGACATCTAATAACTAAATAAAATGTATACTGATACTCTCTTATATAAGGTTCTTTTAGAATTTAGCATTTTCAAAACACATTAGGGAAAAATAACAAAATTCAATTCATTAATGGTAAGTTTAATATTATTATGAATATTATTGTTTTGGTTTTGGGAGCCAGTACCCAGAGGTGATCTGGACTTACTCCTCAGTCTGTGCTCAGGGATGATTTTTAGCAGTGCTCAGGGGACCATTTGCAGTGCTGGTGATCCAGCTGGATCAGCTACATGCAAGGCAAGCACCTTCACCTCTGTAGTATCTCTCCAGTGCTTTAATGATAATTTTAAGGGTTTTTTTTTAATTGATTTCTTTTTTTGTAAATATTTTAACGCTTAGTTGCTCTTTTAGAAAGTTAGACTTTCAATTTTGAAGTACTATAGATGTGATCATGCTGTTGTAGAAAAAATAATAATACAGAACTAAAGCCTTTGTTTCCTCTAACTGTACTTGAGAAACTGTCAGTTTATCACTACCAGAATAACGTCATTTCAGTCAGGTTTAATGTCTCCATCACTTCAATGATACTGCATTTTTATAGCCACATTCACTTGCCTCTCCATACTAACTGTAGTCTCTGACAAATCCTAATCTATTTTCTACTTCCATTATTTCATCACTTAAAGAATGTTATACTTACGTAATCATATAGTATATAACATTTTGGGGTTGGCTTTTTTTCACTCAGCAGCATTGTTCTGCATAGCTTTTTCTAGATTGTTGCAAGTACCTATGTCCTTTTTTTTTCCCCTTTTCCCTGAATAGTATTTAGTATTCCAGTGCATGTATGGTTGTTTCATAGTTTGTTTAATTGTCAGCATATTGAAGGCCCTCTGAATTGTTTCCAGTTTTTAGCTATTCTAAGTAAAGGCTCTGAGTACTTGCTTACATGTTTTTCTTTGATTTTTGTTGTTGTTGTTGTTGTTGTTGTTTCTTTATAAGGCCCACACTCAATGGTGGTTGGGGAGAGGCATGCAGTGCTGGGCATTGAACTTAGAGGGGGGACACACACACACTCTTATCATTTGAGTCATCTCCCTGGCCCTGTATGCACATAATATTTTTTTCTTTATTAGTGAAACACCATTGAGGTACAGATGTAGACTTACAAATTTTTGTGCTTGAGTTTCAGTTATACAATGATCGAATACTCATCCATCCACCAGTGCCCATTCTCCACCATCACTGATCCCAGTATCCCTCCCAACCCCTATCCTCCCCATCCCACCCTGCCCCTGTGGCAGGGCATTCCCTTTTGTTCTCTCTCTCCTTTTGGGTGTTGTGGGTTGCAAAAGAGGTATTGAGTGGCAATCATGTTCGGTCTATAGTCTACTTTCAGCATGCATCTCCCATCCTGGGAGGATCTTCCTAATACCCTTTATTTGGTGCTCCCTTCTCTATCTGAGCTGCCTTTTCCCCCCAGCATGTGCGGCTGGCCTCCAAGCCATGGAGCGAACCTTCTGGTACTTATCATTTGAGTCATCTCCCTGACCCTGTATGCACATAATATTTATGAGAATATTATTTTCATTTCTCTGGGACAAATGCTTAGGCATACAGTTATGGATGAAATGGTAGTTACATAGTTGTCTCAGAAAATAGCACTTTCAAATTTGGTATTATTTTTAGTTAAGGCACCGTGGTTTACAAAGTTGTTCTTAATATAGTTTCAAGCACACGAGCATAGGCTTCTCCAAGGGCAGAGAGAGCCCCTACGCACATCCCAGTATTAGAAACAAAAATATGAAAGTACACATTTCAAGAGGGGAGATCTGGGTGACACATGTGCTCAGGTACCACATGTGCTTGGCCATGTGGATGCAAGCAGCACATGGACTCGTGCAGCATATGCGCACCCTTTTTTCTGTTCAAGGTATCTTTTATAGGCTCTTCTCGGTTGTCTTGATTCAGAAATTCTGGTGTCTTCTTGGGGCAGAGTCACCAAAGTTAATCAGATTAAGGGAGAGTTTGAGGAACTCCATGGGGAGGGGTCCAATCTCCTAAGGTCTGCTGAAGGTCTTATCAGGTCTTATTCTCCATATCCACAAGGTTGATCAGCCTTAGAATTTTTGTTGACCTAAGTTTCATTGCCAAGGGCTTTTCCTGTCTATCTGCCTATATTATATTGATCATTTTCCTCCCTGTCCATCTCATTTTTAGGGTCAAGGGTAATGTAGTTATTCCCCCTTTGATGCATTCCACTACTCGTTATTCTATACATCACAGATACTAAGATCTGGTTGCCCTGCTTTTTCTCTTAATGTGATATTCTATAGTTCCATTCAAACTGCATTCAAATTGCAGCAAATTGCATGATTTTATTCTTTCTTGCACCTGCATAGTATTTCATTTTATAAATATATTACAGCTTCATTGTCTGCTTGTCTGTCATTGGACACCTAGGTTGATTCCCTGTCCTAACTATTGTGTGAAGTATTGCAATGAACAGTGATTGATGTGAAAATGTTTTTTTTGCTTTTTTGGTCACACCCAGCTATGCACAGGGGTTACTTCTGGCTCTGCACTCAGGAATTACAGCTGGCGGTGCTCAGGGGACCATATGGGATGCTGGGAATTGAACCTGGGTCGGCTGTGTGCAAGGCAAACGCCCTACCTGCTGTGCTATTGCTCCAGCCGCTGAAAATGTTCTTTTGAATGAATGTTTTTATCTTGGGAATAGATACCAAGAAGTGGGATTGCTCGCTCTAGTCTTTTCTGAGAAATCTACTGTTTTTCATAGGAGTTGAATCAGAGATTTCTACTGGCAGTGGATGAGAATTCTTTTTTCCACCACATTCCTTCCAACACAGATTGCTTCCAGGGCTGTTTTGGTTTTGTTTTAATATGTGCCATTTTGTGGCAGGTTACCACAATAACTGTCCAGCAGGGGGTCACCCATTGGGGCCGGTCACAGAATAAGACATACTAACACACAAGAAGATAAACGCATGTCCAAACATTGGGGTCACCTGACTAACCAAAAGTGAGTTCACTGGCTTGCCACTCAGTATATTATTGCTCCTCCACCCCTTGCCCCCAGAATATTTTTTTTGTTCTTTTTTTTTTGCTTTTTTGGGTCACACCCAGCGATGCACAGGAGTTACTCCTGGTTTATGCACTCAGGAATCACTCCTGGTGGTGCTCGGGGAACCATATGGGATGCTGGGAATTGAACCTGGGTCGGCCGCGTGCAAGGCAAACACCCTACCCGCTGTGCTATTGCTCCAGCACTGCCCCCCCCCCCCCCCCCCCAGCACATGTTTAAGTTGACAGAGACATTAAGAACTTTAGTGAGCTCATCAAATTCAATGGGTGCAGAGGCTGGGATATTTTACATAGCCAATCAGCAGGCACCCATACAGTATGGCGTAAACTTCTGACAATCTTCTATCCTATTTTTATGCCTTTGTTGTCCCCTACATCTAAAAGACCCTAAACTGCTTCATTCTATCCTTTCTTGGACACACATTTATTTGCTGACCTGCCTCTGTTTTTTACTGGGCTCAGTGTTTGCTGCTCTGTTATGTTCTAAAAGATTTAAACTGTTTTGTGTATTCCAACCTTGGAGTGTGTTAGGATGAAGATTTACCACACCATTCTCACTGGTATGAGATGATCTCTTGTTGTTGTCTTGCTTTGGGTTTTCCTGATAATAAGTAGTGATAAGCACTTTTTCCCATGCTGATTTGCCATCAGTCTTCTTTAGAGAAGTGTCTGTTTATTTCTCATTCTGTTTTTCAGTAGGGTTTTGGATTTTTGTTGTTGATCTATGTGAGTTCTTTATTTATGTTGGGTATTAACCCTCTATTTACTGTATTAACTGTGAGTATTTTCTCCTATTCAGTTGGGTGTTCTTTATTTTCATCCTATGTTTTAGTTTTGACGTGCAAAAACTTTTAAAATTTGGTGTCAATTTATTTTTGCTGCTGTTTTCATTGTCAGTGGAATCATATCATTGAAGATAGTTTTGATATCCAAATCTTAGAGTGTTATGCCAATATTTTCCTTTGTGTGCTTTATAGATTCTGGTTTGATCTCAAAATCTCTTTGAATTGATTTTTGTGCAAGGATTCTGAGTTTATATTTTAAGGCCTAGGATATATAGTCTGTCTTTGTACATATTCTATAGCAATGGTGAGAAATCTTTTTTTTCCCCCTGAAAAAAATTTGAATATTTTAAACAATTTATGGATCATGCATTATGAGTAAATGAACCACATGTATGAGCTAATGAGAAGCATACATGTCTTTTCCATCATAGACCAGGGTTAGACCACCTGATTGATTTCATGGACCTTATATGGCCAACAGGCCAGATATTTCACAACCATTTGTAAGCACTTGAGAAGAATGTATTTTGGTGTCCTTGGGTGAAAGAGTCAATTCACTAGATAAAATTGGTGTTTTTAAGTTCTATGGTCTTTTTAATTTTTTTCTATTTCTGTCAAATTGTTGAAAGAGACAGATGTTGTCGAAATCTCTAACAATTATTTTGTGTGTGTTTCCTTGCAGTTCTGTTAGCTTTTGCTTTATATAATTTGCAGTTCTCCTATTTGGTGCTTGATAATTCAGGATTGCTATGTTTTTGGTGAATCAATCTGTTTATTATTATATAATGTTAATATCTTTCTGATAGTTTTCTTTAAAATGTACTCTATCTGATAATAACAAACCTGTTTTCTCTTGGTTGTCATTTATATTCATGATAAAGTCTTTTCCATTCTTTTACTTTCAACCTATTTATACCATTCTATTTGAATTGAATTGCAAACAGCATATATTTCGTGTTCTTTTGTTCTGAATCAAATATTTATTTTTTAAAGAAACTTTTTTTGACATAAGTTCTGAACCAAATATTTATTTTTTACAGAAACTTTTTTTTTACTTCTTTTTGACATGTGATAATGAAATTGAACATCTAT